TCCTTGTTTGGAGCAGGATTTCTTTTTTTCCTGACAACAATGTTCATAGGAATTCTCTGTGGAATTCAGTGCTTAGAAACGTAATGTCAGTCCAAGAAGGGAGGGTGTATTTATTTGCAGAGATGACAAATAAATCAGGGGAAAATATACCTAGTATCGCTGATGATGAATTAGATCAGTCCAAAAGCATTTTTACAAAAGCATAATAAGTAGTTCTTGGAACGCTCTCAAAATGAGAACATGTAGTGTAAGGCAGCACAATCTATATGATAAAATAAGCGAAAGATTTTTCCTTCCTGATGAAGTGAAATAATGAAGTAAATAAAATCACTTTGAGTCTGAAACTTCCAACGAGAATCATTATTTAAAGGAGGCCAAGCACTTTGGTCCCTACCCTGCTAATTACCTCGGAGAATGTGCTTTTCTTAAAGTGTAATGACTTTCCAACAAACTCAGCAGCCAAACTGTTATGAGGCATCTCATGTATGTTCAGCTGTTAGACTGCTAGAGGTTGATTGCAACACAAGATTATGAGAGGAATGTTTTTGTGGAGATAATCACAGATGCACTAGAAATTTAGAAGCTGGGCAGATTCCAGGTTTCATCATGACAGCCTGCATAATGATTCGTAACAGTGCACTCCAGCTGATGATAATCACAAGTATGTAGTCTTAATGTTAAAAAGATGGCAAGGCTGTAAAAATTGGACTCTTATGCGCTAAACTGGGAAGCCAGAGGTTGATTTGCTTGCATTTTGAGAAATAAACCCGTCTTTCTGTCCTTTTTCCCTGTTTCTTGCAGAGCAGAGGTGATTAGATAATCTGAAAGATAATCTAAAGACTTGATCTTCATCATTACTGAACATATACCAGGTGCCATGGCTCAAGCTGAAGTAGCACTACTGCAGTGTGCGTTGTTTTTTTTCTACTCGAGCGTCTGTTTGTGCCAGCTTGATTGCACTGGCACAAACTGTCCCCTGCTGGACAACTGTATCGAAGAAGTCCTGGAGAGCGGTGCCTGTTGTGCTTCGTGCTCACAAAAAGGATGTGCGTGCGAGGGATACCAGTACTACGACTGCATCAGTGCTGGCTTCAAGAATGGCAAGGTGCCCGAGGGAGACTCCTACTTTGTTGACTATGGTAGCACCGAGTGTTCCTGTCCCGTAGGAGGGGGCCGGATCAGCTGCCACTTCATCAGCTGTCCTGATATGCCACCAAACTGCATCGAGGTTTCCGAGCCTGCAGATGGCTGCATGCAGTGCGAACGAGTTGGATGTGTTCACGCTGGACAAAAGTTTGAGGCTGGATACTCCTTCCACATTGACCCTTGCCGTGTTTGCCACTGCCCTAATGAAGGGGGGAAGCTCATGTGCTACCCGGTACCAGACTGTGATCCGCAGCAAGTTCATAAACCCATGTTAGCTGCACCCACAGAGGATAATACAGTCATCACGCATGATAATTTCCCATACAGGTTTGATCAACAAGGCCACACAGATCAATTTGCCACTCCTTATCACCTTCCTAATGGAAATCTTCCTCTCTTTAAATTGTCACCGCTTGATAAAGAGAAACCAGAAGACTATGATTATGGTCCTACAGACTTTCCAGAGACCTACCCACAGTCTTTGCTGTTTCCCACCCCATCTTCCTCTTCCTTTAAAAAAGTTCTATCTGTGTCCCAAGGCTCTGTCAAAGCTGACCGCATCTCTTCTCTTCAGAGCTTTGACAGGCAAGGCAAGCAGGCGCTGAGAGAACGATATGGAGTTCGTGACCATCCTTCAGGCAGAGAAGAAGTGACAGAAAGTCCCCTGAGACTAGAGCAGACGACTGACATGCCAAATATGCGTGCCACATCTTCTTGGCAGTTCTTGCAGGGTCTAACAAGTTTGCAAGGTGTCCTTTTTAATAATTTACGTCCACAGACAGATGTAGACGATTCATTGCATGGCCACAAGAGCTTGGGTAGTGTCGTATTTCCATTACACAGAGAATTAGAAAGTGAAAATGCGGGTTCAGAAAGTGCCATTTATCCTCAGAGAGGCACTGAAACTAAGGCACATAACAAAAATACATCAGATAGCGTGGCACCGAGGGGTACTATCAGTCAGACAAACGTGAGTCTTCCACAGAGGGGTACAGAGATCCAATCCAGTCAAGAAAGAGGATCAGATACAGTACATTTTCCACTGTACACCATGGAAAGCTCAGAGGTTCCTATCCATCCTGAGGAAAATTCAAATGGTCCAAAAGAAACGCAGAAGCTACTCACAGTTTATGAGAAGGAAAGATTGAATGAGGAAGAGATGCAGGGGGAGAAGCAGGAAGAAATAGTACCTTTTCAGAATGTGTCTGGGCCTGAAGGAAAGGATGTGCCTTACACCATCGACACAGTGCAAGAGAGAAGCGAGGAGGACTCGGAGAGCAGCTTTCCAACCAGCATTTATGAAAAGACTATTTCTGAGCCCGTCACTCCTTCCCAAAGGAGGCCTGAATCCCGGACAACACCTGTATTCCAGTTTATCACCACCACCCAGCCACCAATGAGAGTTACACTGGAAGAAAGTCAGCCTAGTGGAGAGCCCAATCAGATGGTGATTAACCTTCACAGTGAAGGAAGACAGGAGGAAAAGGAAGGAGTGAAAGAGGAGGAAGATCGCCCTGTTTTACCCATCAAACCCGAGGAGGGTAAGTAAAAAACAAAAAGATTACACAAGCCTTGCTATGCATGTTTTCTTCTTCTTCATGTTTAATTTGTGCTTTTTTTTTAGCATACAAACAAACGGCAGCATGGATTTTTTAGTACACGGACAATTTCCATATGAAACTTGGATTAAAATTGGGGTTAAACTAACAAAAAGCTCGTACAAAATAATTTTTAGACCTGGCAAAAATGTAGATGTGTCTCATGTCTGCCTCAGCCAAGTGTAAAAACGTTCTGTTTCCTTCTGTTTCTAATGACAGCCTTGTAACTTTAAAAAAAATTACATTATTATCATGAATCAAATAGTAAAAGTAAACTTCTGAAGCAGGAACATTTTGAGCAACTTTGTTTCTTGTCCTAAAGAGGAGGAATTTTTCATAACGTGTACTGCTTTGCTCCTCACTGGGTCGGTGTCATCTTTCTGAACGTAACATTTTCCATTACATTGTAGCAAATTAACCTTGGCAGTAGAGATATGTAAGATTAATCACTTCCCCTTTTTAATAACTTCAGTCGGTTTACACCACAGCTCTAAAACCCATTTTACTTCATGGGTAAGATATACGTGTATATACTATACTGAAAATTGTTTTTTAAATGTAATTAAATACTTTGACATCCATGCAGCACCCACATTTAATAAACAATCAATTTACAAAAATAAAAGATAAATAACCTGAAATATCTTAGCATATCTTAACATGTAAATTATATTAGTAGTACTTTGTCTCTTTATGATTCAAAGACAATGTTGATCTTTCAAGGCACTTTTGACGTTCTATATGTTTCACTCCTGTGTAGCAATGCTGGTACAATCCCGGCTCACGAAGACACCATTTAACCTCCTAGGACCTGGCGTCCACACATGTGGACAACACATTTTGGGTTATCTAGACCAGGGGTGTCAAACTCAAATACACAGTGGGCCAAAATTTTAAAAAAAGTCGCGAGCTAACATTAATATTTATTGAAAAAAAAAACTTCCTCCAGATATAAGAATGAATCTTTTCTTATGGACTCAAATAAGTTTTGCTGGAGAACTGAATATGGAACAAGCAAAGCTTAATACTAAACAATATATATATTAGCTGTATAATACCAGTAGGCCAAATAGTAATTTGGTATGGCTTCACGGGCCAAATGTAGAGTTTGACACCTATGATTTAGACCAAAATACTCAATTTTACATGGGCCTGATATTCACTTACGAGGACATTATACTGCTACTGTTCTATCAAGATTTTAAACAAATATCTTCATATGTGGCTCTTATTTTTCTTAAAAACAAAAATAAGGTAAAAAAAAATCTGGTAATTCATTGTTTTTACATTCATCGGGCCCCAATCAGCCCAAATATCAAAGAGAAATTGAAAATGCATGCCGTGGAAGAGTTCGGGTCTTAGGAGGTTAATAGAAAATTAAAGTTACGAAGGCACTTAACGGCAATATTTCTGCCCGTGGTACGGCAAAATGCCCGTGTAACGAAATCCGTTTGAGAAATGCGTTTTGCTGTTCCACGTGAAAGACGTATTGTTGTTGCAGTGCGCTATTTCGTGTGCTTTTCGTTTGCAATTAGCCTATCGTTCATTCATAATGGGGCCGGCATAAGGCATAAATATGAGCGAGTTTTAAAAAATGTAAAAAAAATATCATTGCACAGTGTACGCATGTGCATTAATTAACATAAATGTAAGTTTTAGTATGTTTAGAATTAAATTCCATAATGTTATGTACATGTACACGTACGTATGTATGCATGTATACGTACGCTTTCTTCAGCCTCCACCAAGAACTTCGTCTTCAGCCAGCATCGCCTCACTCAAAAGGCTTCGACTTACAAAAAAACCCTCTGGAACGATTAAATGTCATAAGTCGGGGTTCCACTGTATTACTAAACATGCAATAGCAAAGTATTTTAGTGAAATCCATTAGAAGTAATAATCCAGTGGGCCTGTTTTACTGGGTTTATGCAGAATCATCTGGGAAATGTTACCTGCAACATGTATGGGAAAAGCAGACCTATTTATGAACGCCTGCTACATGAAAACATCCTTCACAGACATTCTTTGCGTTACATTAATGCAGAAATATAAACTTTATTTCTAATATAACTGTTCTGGTTTCTTTGACATCACGTGCATATTTGTTTGAGGTTTCTGCCAGTTGTATTGATGTGATACAACCTTTGACGCTGTATTCACTGTAGTTTGAATGGATGACACTGACGTGTCTGCAAACACTCACCAACTGCTCTCCAAGTCGTAGTAAAACTGTGAAAGTGTGTCATAAACTGGAAACAGGAGAAGTAACAGTAGCTTGCCTTTGAAATAAAAGTCGCACCTTTTGAAGAGTGTTGTCGAGTGTTTGCGGACACATCGGCATCTTCTTGTATTGGACGTTTATTCCTGAGAGTCTAGAAACCTTATGTTGACGATGTTTGTGATGTAAATTGCATATGCTTGAGCTAACATTCGTAGTACCTCATAAATAATTTTAAATACCACATTCATCTATTCATTTATTACAGTCATTTAAGACCGCCTTCCTGATGTATAGCTGTACAAAGTTGCCTGCACTTTCTCTGTCCCTCTCTAAATACCAGTCATGTCACATGTGTATGGAAAAAACAGGCACATGTCCCTTTGTGTAGGCACAAAACTAGTGAGTCCAGGATGTGTCTGCAATAGGAGTCAAACACTCCTCCCATGGCAAACATCCGCTCACAGCAGTCTCCCACCCATCACCACCATCCTTCACCCTGAGCTCGCTCAGCTCCCTCGCAGGACCTCATAAACCCTTTCTGGCCACCTGCGTCAGCTGCTTTGATTTGAGATGTGTTTCTTTGTTGGTAATGTTTTTGTTTCAAAGATTTAGAAATAACATCTCTGTGGTATTTATTTACATTCAAAAAAGTCATAGCATTGAAAAAGAAAGACACAAAAATGTGGCTGTAGTTTGAATGACAGTACGTGGTAGTTACACAGATGGTAGACCGCAACGTTGCTGACTCGGTTATATTTAGCTGGTCAAAGCCTTTCATATGGGACTGAGAGATAAATAATCTATTGCTGGTGCACGTGAGCTGTTTTCTTTTTGAGGATGTGTGTAGCACGAGGCAGCAACACAACCAGACACTGGTGGCCTGAAGGCCTTAGAGATGCAGAGTTACATGTGCAGTGGCTACACTGTTGAAAAATACAAGCATTGTGACAA